ACATACAGCACTGGGTAACCACAAGCTGGGGGAAGCAGAACGCCAGTGGTGTGGTTCCAGCTCAAACCCAAAGGTCTGAGAACCAGGGGTACTACTGTGGGAGCCCTCCCTCATGATACGTCCCTCTACACACATGGACATCTCTATACAATTTTATTGGTTCTGTCTGGAGAAGCCAGACTGATCCAGGAACTCACAGAAGACCCCACACCAACTGCCATATAATGTGCTCCCACCGCAGGAACCAGCATCCTGCTCAATATGGAGATACAAGAGCAGCAACCAAATCAGTCCAGGGCAACTGCCTGATGCTTGAGAGGCAGAAAATGAAAAATATCACTGGTACGTCGGCACGGAATCCATGTGACATGAAGCCCAAGTCCAGAGGCTAAAGCCTGGGACTGACTGGAGACAGGGAACACCCATCAGAGGAGCCTGGACAGGAGGGGAAAGAAAGGGCCTCCTCAGGGACAAGGCTAGAGTCTGCCCTTCCTAAATGCTGGGGTGCCTGCTACCTGTATCTCCTACCAGGACTCAGGCCCAGGTTATGTGGGGCCAAACTACTTACTCATCTAGCCCTTAGCCAACAGGAAACTTTGGTTCCCACGAAGGTGGTGAATCTTGTTAGTCCATTCTAGAGGACACAGGTGAAAGGAAGAATTATCACCAACCCCCACCCTAAACTGCACCCACCTCCCCTGCCCCCACCAACGCCTACTAAATCTAACAGTAACATACCCGCCACCCTGGCTTCCTCACATGCCACCCCCGTTCCGACTGAATCTTCTACTTCTCCTATACTCACATCTCGCACTCTCTCGCCTCCCTCTTCATCCACTTTTGCAGGCAGAACCCTAGTCTTCAGTGGCTTCCTCTCTTGACACAAGGATCTCCCTTTCCCCTCACCTCTTCAATCCAGTTCTAACCCATCATGGCATGAAAAGTGTTGTTGTGGATCAATGGAGCAAGGAATTCCATGGAACACTGAGTCCCTTACCCTACCCCTAAGATGACTGTGGGAAATCCATGGACATTTAATTTAAGTCTAGGAAATGCTGAATACTTCTTCCTCTCCTTAGAGTTGCACATTAAAGTGCAACTTTACAGTGCACATTAGCATTTAAAGGCCCCGAGAAGTCCTGCAGTTAAGAAACTGGTCAAATGGGGGGCGCCTGGGTGACGCAGTCGGTTAGGCGTCCGACTTCAGCCAGGTCACGATCTCGCGGTCCGGGAGTTCGAGCCCCGCGTCGGGCTCTGGGCTGATGGCTTAGAGCCTGGAGCCTGTTTCCGATTCTGTGTCTCCCTCTCTCTCTGCCCCTCCCCCGTTCATGCTCTGTCTCTCTCTGTCCCAAAAATAAATAAAACGTTGAAAAAAAAAAAATTTAAAAAAAAAAAAAAAAAAAAAGAAACTGGTCAAATGGGCAAAGGACTCAAACAGACATTTCTCCAAAAGAGACATACAGAGGGCCAACAAACATATGAAAAGATGCTCAACATCACTAACCATCAGGAAAATGCAAACCAAAACCACAATGAAAAAAAATGCAATATTACCTCATATCTGTTAGGATTCCACTATAGGGGGAAAAAAAACAGAAAATAAGTGTTGGCAACCCTTGTGCACTGTTGGTGAAAATGTAAAATGGCATAGCCACCATGGAAAGCGGTATGGAGGCTCCTCAAAAAATGAGAATTACTGGGGCACCTGGCTTGCTCAGTCTGTAGAGCATGTCACCCTTGATCTTGGGGTTGTGACTTCAAGCCCCACATTGGGGTTAGGAAGTTAAGAGTTTACTTAAAAAAAAAAAAAACTAGGGGCACCTGACTTCAGCTCAGGTCACTAACTCACGGATCGTGAGTTTGAGCCTTGTGTTGGGCTCTGTGCTGACAGGTCAGAGCCTGGAGCCTGCTTTGGATTCTGTGTCTCCCTCTCTCTCTCTCTCTCTCTCTCTCTGTTCCCACTCCCCCACTCATCCTCTCTCTCTCTCTCTCTCTCAAAAATAAATAAAGATTTAAAAAAGTATAAAAAACAAAAAATAAATAGAATTACTATATGATCCAGAGATCCCACTTCTGGGTATATATCCAAAAGAACTGAAACTGTATCCCAAAGAGACATTTACACACCCATGTTCCCAGCATTATTCACAAAAGCCAAGAACTGGATGCAACCCAAATGTTCATGAACAGATGAAAAGATTTTTTTCAAATGTGGCATATAAAAACAAAATGTGGTATAGACACCTGGGTGGCTAAATCAGTTAAGCGTCCAACTCTTGATCTTGGCTGAGGTCATGATCTCGCGGTTCCTAGGTTCGAACGCCACACTGGGCTTTGTGCAGACAGTGTCGAACCTGCTTGGGATTCTGTCTTTCCTTCTCTCTGCTCCTCCTCCACTTGTTCGTGTGTGCTCTCTCTCTCACTCTCTCTCTCTGCTCCCTCAAAATAAAAATAAACTTTAAAAATAAGGTGGTATATACATACAATGAATTATCATTCAGCCTTTAGACAGGAAATCCTATCATAAGCTACACCATGGATGAACCTAAAAAACATTATGCAAAGTGAAATAAGCCAGTCACAAAAAGACAATACTGTATGATTCCACTTACGGGAGGTGTATAAAGTAGTCATCTCTTTGAAAGTAGAGTGGAGAGTGGTGAGTGTGAGTAGTGGGAGGTAGGACTGGGGGGTTGTTCAATGGGTATAGAGTTTCAGTTCTGTAAGATGAAAAAGTTCTAGAGATCTGTTACACAACAATGTGCATATAGTTAACCCACTGTACTGCATACTTGAAAATAGGATGATAAATTTTATGCTGAACTTTGTTATCGTAAAGATAGAAACTGTTTAGCTCATTTCACTATATTCTTAACCACTGAATACACTTTTTGCAGAACACCTTGAGACACAACAGGAATACTACAGAACACTGTTTGGGGAATACCGCTCTAAACATCAAAGTACACCGAACTGCATGCTGTTGCCTCTAATTATCCAATCCCTTTGGTTATTTACTTCAGCCCTTCATCAGTTCCTGAGGCCACGAAATCTTATGTTTCCAGGCAGGGGTCCAATCTTCATGCTGTCCCAGGTTAACACTGGCCTGATATTGTCACAACCGTGTGGTCTGGCACCCTTGAGGAGGGGCAGAAAAGCGGCCAGTGAAAGTGAACATCTTTTGAGAACTTTGCTCAACTTACAGTAATACTCTTATGTGCCACCCCTCCATCATGATAGACCCTTATCAGTCATCATCAGTCATGTCTGTACCACATGCCATACCACACATGTGTACACACACACACACACACACACACACACACACACACACACACACACCAATGATAAACACCAAGCTGCTATGCTAATCAAGTTCTCAACCAGGACTCTGGACTTGGGATTAAGGTTCTAGCTCAATCTGGTATCTTGAAAGTAAAAGATCAAAAGATATAAATGTGGGAACTATTGGTTGGCCCCTGTTTACTGTCTACCATGTTCCCTAAGAAAGGGAGAAACTGACCTAAGGCAAGAACTGAAACCCTTCCCATCTCAGTTGTTCTTGGCCAGCTGCATTCCTGCCCTCAGGTTCCACGAGCCACCCCATCTGAGGCCCTGACATCGCACAACTCCAGAGACCACCATTCACAACCTAGAGTTCTGCCAGCGCAGTGGCCCTGCCCATAAACCCTTATAAAGCCTTTTATTGCTCAAAGGACCTCAGGGCGGTTTCTGTTACCTGCCCCTGAAGGATCAGAGAGCACCAGCTGTATTCCCACTATCGCTTATTACCTGCCTGGGCTTCTGCCAGGGGCACTTGCCATGTTGTTTCTCAAAAGCACTCCAACCTTCCCTGCCCTGCTCCTCGGCCTTTGCTCCCACTAATCTCCCTGCCTAGAATCCTCTCCGTCCTTCCTCTGTTTATCCAACTCTACCCATCCTTCAACATCCAGTTCAAATGCCTCCCCTGCTCATAAAGCCCTCAGTCATCTTTCCCTCTCAACCCTAAACTCACAAAGCGCTTTGCCCATATTTTCTTGAAGGCATTTCCACATTCCACCTTGTAATACAGACACATGTATATGTATCTTTACTCCATTACTCAACTGTATGTTCTTGGGAGCAGGACCATTCTAATCTTTGTGTCACATACCACACCTAAGGCAGTGCCTCGCACGTAAGCAAAGGTTATAAAAAATATATATGTATAGATGACTCTATGGGAGAACAGTACTTTGTATACTGTCTCATCTCTCTACTAAACCATCAGCATAGTGAGGGCAGAAATTCAATCTTAAATTCATCTCTGTAACCTTGCAGGAGCATGACCATGGTACAGGCATTCCAACACTTGCTGACTGAATGACCTAAAAGGGTAGATACTAGAATGCTTTCACCCCCTGCCCTTCAGCCCCACCACATGCAATCTCCACCTCTCCAAACCCGATTCTCCCATATTTAGCTCACCAGTGTTTTCAGAGGTAAAGGTCACTTACTGAGTTACTTCCATCAAAGGTAGTGGTTGCGGGGGGAAGGAGGGTGTTATTCAGAACTACCCCTAAAACCTGCTAGGGTAGAGATCCGTGACAACTTTCTGGCTGCTCTTCTGGCCATGTCAGAGGGACAGGACAGTCTGCATGGGGAGAGGAGAAGGGAGGCAGAACAGACAATTCTGCTAAGGATAGGGTGTGGCAGAGGAGAGGAGGTTAGGTGTGTCAGCGAAAGAAAGGTCCAGATCTCTGCCCCTTCATTTGTCCATCAATGCTTCCACAAGTTATTAAAAGCTGGCTATATTCACTGGAAATAAGGAAGCCAGGGCCAAAGCAACAAGCATTCAGTGAGACCCTACTAGACACAGGTCCCTGGTGCCAAGCCCTGGAGGACACACTCGGTTTTGGACTGACAGCTAGAATCCTACAAACACACTGGGGATGGAGGAAAAGAATGACAACAGAGGACAGGCTGATGAGATCCAACCCTGGCCCATCTCCACTTAGTACCTGGTGGGCGTCTCCTGATGGGATGATGTAGGCCTGGATCGGCTCTGTCACATACTCCGTGTTCCTCATGGCTTGTCTCAGCTGCCGAAGCAGCTCTGAGGTTACCTTTGGAGCCATTCTGCCGTCTGCAACAACAGGAGAGTTTGTTCCAAAACCAGCTTGCCCGGGGCAACTCAGTGACTAGTTCAAAGGCAGCCCTAGGGATGGGCCTGCCAGCTGCCCCACCCTAGCTGCATTTTCAAACTGACCACCCCCCACCACACCAACACCAAAGGTCCCAGGAACTCTACAGTTTACAGTTCTTAAATACCACTTCCCAATAGCCATTTGCGGCATGGAAAGTTGAGCTACTGATACTCATTTCCAAATTGATCAGTTACCTCTTCCACTTCCACGGCTATATTCTAAAGAGATAAACAGATGCACAAAGATACCTGTTGATATCAAAGATCTTTGTTGATAGTAAAAAAAAAAAAAAAAAA